TACTGGGAATCGAACTCAGGACCTCGCACTTGCCAGGCAGGCGCTGTACCGCTGAGCTAAATCCCCTGCCCCTACTCCAATAAATTTTCCTACTCTTAAAAAGAAATTTTTTTTGCCAACACTCTCAAACCTCATAAGCAGTCCGCTGAGGCGCACAGTGCTGATAATCTCATTTAAGAAACCAAAGGGGGAAAGATCGATAATAGGAAAAAGTCGATAATAGGAAAAAGTCCGCACAGTGCGGACTTACTGGATTCTTGGAAAACCTCTGAGCATTGGCGAAATGCCTCGGTACATCCTAAACGTTATTCCTCCGCCAGACTGCTAGGATCTTTTTTTTCCGGAAGCGCTAAGGATAGCCTTAAAAACAGAAGGCAGAAGGGAAATTGGGTCTGAGAAGCAGCCTAGGATAAAAACGAATCAAGATTAGAGCTATCAAAAGAAAGTTCACCTCTCTCCGTGAGAGACGGTCCAACTATTAGAAACTTAAAGTGTAGGGTGTTTGTCAGCGTCAGTGAAAGAATCTACTTGATAAAAATTTCCAACTGTTTAATTTGCTCTTGATTATTAAACAGTACTTGGGGAAAGAGGAAAAAATTGCTCGAAGCCTGGTGTGGTAGCTCATGTCTGTAATCCCTGCACTTAGGAGGCTGAGGCAAGAGGATTGCTGTGAGTTCGAATCCAGCCTGGGCTACATAGCAAAAATCTGTCTCAAAAAAAGTTATTAGTAATTTCTAGTTCTTGGATTGAGGAAAGGCTTCATGTATATTTATTCTATACATTGTCACATACACATAGGTTACATATTGTTACAGATAGTTTTTTTGAGGGGTGGGGGGCTGCGTCTCTCAAAGTTACCCAGGCTGGCCCTAAATTTGAGATCCCCCTGCCTCCACCTTCCAGATGCTAGGATTACAGGTGTGAGCCAATGGGCCGACCTAAAATAGCATGTTTTAAAATATTAAAAGAAGGGGCTGGGGATTTAGCTCAGCGGCAAAAGCGCCTGCTTGGCAAGCGCAAGGTCGTGAGTTCGGCTCCCGGTACCGGAGAAAAACCAAAAAAATAAAATATTAAAAGAAACGTGCCTGTAGTCCCAGCATCCTGGAGGCTGAGGCAGGAGGATGGGAAATTTTAGCCCAGCCTAGGCAACTTAGTGACATAACAAGACCTGTCTCAAAATAATAAAAAGGACTGAAGGTGTAACTCCGTGTATTGATCCTAGCTTCAATACCCAGTTCTCCGAAATAAAATAATAGGAAAAAGAATAATAACTAAGAAGTAGAGAAGAATTATTATCAGTAACCAGCAAACTGAAAGAATGCGTCGATGCTCACAATGCAAAGATGTTGCACTTGTTGGCTCATTTTTTAAAGACACAAATTTTTGTACAGAGTAGTCTCAATCATGTAAAAAGTACGTATGCGCAGGAAACTCGACAGAGTTAGCAGGTGTTTCCAAACGGTGGAGTTTTTCTGTTTTTGTGGGTATTGGAAATTGAATTCAGGACCTCACACTTGCCAGGCAGGCGCTGTGCCGCTGAGCTATATCCCCGGCCACTGAGGGTAGGATTATGAGTGCTTTTTCTTTACAGTTTTAGTATTTCCTGGGTCAGATATTCTGCTTTACCCATGTGTTCATTTATAACGAGGGGAGCAGGGAATGCACTGAAGAAATGAAAAGCAGCTGCAAAGTCTTTCCGTGACCTTCCAAGACAGAGGGAATCTGTGACACACCCAGCTTCAATAATACCTTTTTGTCCCCCACCGCCTGTCCTTGAATAATGTTACTAACAAATAATGAGATAGTATGATACAGTGGGTTTCCTATACTTTTTTGTGAAATTTTTCTGTTTCAGAAATCAGAGGCTGGTCAGGGCCCCCCTTTCATAACTGAGCCTTGTGTGGTGGCGCACGCCTGTAATCCCAGCACTCGGGAGGCTGAAGCAGGAGGATCATTGCAAGTTCGAGACCAGCCTGGGCTACGTAAGTGAATTCAAGGCCAGCCTGAACTGCATAGTGAGACCTACCGAAAAAACCAAAAAAAATAAAAATAAATAAAACATCGTTGGTGTTGGAAATTGTAGCTCCGTGGCAGCGTATGTGCTTAGCATATGTGAGGCCCAAGGTTCAGTCTTTGGCACCACATGAAAGAAACAGAGGAAGGAAGGGACAGAGGAAGGAAGTTTTTCTTTTCTTCTCTTGAAATCTGGCTGTTTCTGGCCTCAAAAAATATTCTTTGATCCCTAGAACTACAAAAGAAAAAATAATGTAATATTTTACCCTGGGTGTGGTGGCACACACCTGTAATCTCAGTACTTGGGAGGCTGAGGTAGGAGGATTGCCATGAGTTCAAAGTCAGCTACATAGGGGCTGGGGATTTAGCTCAGCGGCAAAGTGCCTGCCTAAGAAGCGCAAGGTCGTGAGTTCTATTTCTGGTACCAGAAGAAAAACAAAAAAAAACAAAAAACCAAAGTCAGCTACATAGCAAGTCAAGGCCAGCCTGAACTACATAGCAAGACCCTGTCTCAAAAATATATATATATGTGTGTGTGTGTGTGTATAGTTTTACATATAATATTAATATACTTGTAATATTAATATACTTAACATATTAATACATATATAAAATAGGAACATATGAATTTCCAGACATAAAACAAGATATAATAACTTTACTAAATATTAAATGCTATACAAATTACGTTCGTAGATAAAACTATAAATGCTTTAAAGGCCCATGTTACAATGACTGTTCTGAGTTTTGTATTTCTTTGTTTTTTTGCAGTGCCAGGGATCAAACTCACGACCTTGTGCTTGCCAGGCAGGTGCTTAAGCCACTGAGCTATATCCCCAGCCCCAAGATTTTTTTCCTTTTTTTTTTTGGTTTTTTGGTTTTTTTCCAGGACCAGGAATCAAACTCATGACCTTGAGCTTGCCATGCAGGCACTGTGCCACTGAGCTAAATCCCCAGCCCCTGAGTTTTGTATTTCTTTTGATGAGTATTGAACTCAGAGCCTTGTAGGTGCTGAGTAAGTGTTCTACCCCTGACCTACATCCCTGTTCCTTTTATTTTGAGACATAGTCTCACTAAACTACCCAGACTGGGTTTGAACTTTTTTGTGGGTGGGGGGTTGAATTTGTGATCTTCCTACCTCCTGACTAGCTGGAATTACAGATGTGTTCACCAGACACAGGGAGAATTTAATGAACCTGTTTTTCCCAGGTGAAAGAAGTATTGTCACAGGATAAATGACCCATAGTCTTGATCTGTAGTATGAGTTTCCAGAGGTTTCCAGAGGTCTTCTCTATTAAAGCATTATCAAAAATACTTTTATCTGCCAGACCTGGTGGCTCACACCTGTAAGCCCAGCACTTGGGAAGCTAAGGCAGGAAGATCGCCATAAATTCAAGCCTAGCCTGGGCTATATAGTGAGCTTAAGGTGAGGCTGCACTACAAAGCAAGCCCCTGCCTCAAAAAACAACAATAACAAAACAAAAACAAACCTTTTAATCTACCATTCAGTTATATCTAAAAATCTAAAAGTGGAGTTTTAGCTCTGAAAATCTAAGCCATGCCTCAATGAAATCACTGATTCTCTTACAGGCTGGCCCTATAGTGCAGCACAAGGCAACCTACTGTGGAAGAGAGAGCACAGTGGCCCACAGCTCCTTGAGGACTTCTGTATCCCCTGCTCCTGGGGCTGACGTCAGGCCCAGGCTATCCTGTCAAACACCTGCACAAGTTTTCATGAAAAGCTTTAAAAATGACACACTCTGACTGAGTCTGTGAGCAGGGCTTTGGGAACTGTTCTGCACCTGCGTCCTGGGGTTTGGTAGTTAATAGGTCGCGCCTACTTCCCCAGCCAGTCTGCCACACCCTAATCTCCTGCCTCGTTTCCCCTGAGAGACACAAACCCCCATAATTCTTTATGGGGTGCTGAGGGAGTGGAGGTCTCTGTCTTCATATAGCTACTTCGTGCTGGGAGGGGCTCTAGGCCCTACCTACCAGGAATTACAGGCTTTCCAAATAACTTGGGGTGCTGTGGGTCACTGGCTGGGTTAAAGAAGAAAACCTGTTTAAAAACAATGAGAGGGGGCTGGGGATTTAGCTCAGCGGCAAAGCACCTGCCTGGCAAGCACAAGGTCGTGAGTTCGGTTCCTGGTACCAGAGAAAAACAAAACAAAACAAAAAAAAACAATGAGAAAAGTGCCAGTGACTGCCAAGATGCCTGTTCAATGGGAGAGAGCTTGGAGAATTTGTCAGGAGAGTAACTTTACTATTAGCTTGGGGATGCAGAGCCCAAACATGAGAAGGAGCAGGGCAGAATTCCACTTTGCCAGTGGAGATGAAAGTGTGGCAAAGAGGGATGTTAGATAAATTACCAAGAGGCTGAGAGCTGCAGCCTTAGCAAGATACCCATCTTATGGATTTAATTAAAAACAGGAGCCTCAATACAGGTGCCCATTTAAGCTATGGTGAATTAGGGTCATTAGTGACTCTACTTGTCTACACTGGGGGCAGTACTGGAGCCTTGCTTTCTAAAGAGGAGCCTCAGGTCTTCCAGAGGTTCTCAGGAATAGCTGTCTTCCTAGTCCTGTGAAAATTCTAGTGACCACTTCCTGTGTAGGGTTTTTATAGCTTTCCACTGCACCCATTGAGGAAAGGCCAGTTTAATGGTTTCTCAGGAACTGGGGACAAGACTAGGGTCTTGAGAGGCTGTGAGGCTGCCCTTATTGCCTCTCTATAAGCCTTTTGATTTTGCAAAGAGACTTTAGACGTGTCTCTTTGGTGTCCCTTGCAGTGAATGACAGTGACCTGTTTGGGAAGATAGACTACCTCTAGGAGTTGTAGAATTTCCTGTTTGTGTTTTATAGATTGCTTATTAGATGGAAAGCTGATGGAGATCACTGTGAAGCAGTTCTGAGCGGGACTTAAATTAACCAATTGGCTTCCATGTTTACTTGTGAGTCCGTGGTCCCCACTGAGGCCTGCAGTGGTGGGTGAAGCCATGAGGCCTCAAAGGACAAGACAAAGCCATGGCAAAGGACACCTGGCTCCAACCTCAGTTAACTCTATAAAGACTGTAGCTGCAAGCTGGGTGTGGTGGCACAGGCCTGTAATCCCAGCACTCAGGAGGCTGAGGCAGGAGGATCGTTGGGAGTTCAAGACCAGCCTGGGCTACAAAGTGAGCTCAAGGCCAGCCTGAACTGCATAGAGAGACCCTGTCTCAAAAAAGACAAAAAAAAAAACAAAAAAAAAAACTGTAGCTGCAAACTGGGGATGGTGGTGCACACCTATAATCCCAGCATTCAGGAGGCTGAGGCAGGAAGATCCTTATGCGTTTGAGACCAACCTGGTCTACAGAGTGAGCTCAAAGCCAGCCTCAACTACATAGTGAGACCCTGTGTCAGAAAGATTAAAAAAAAAATAGCTGCAGGCATTTTACTCCTATGTGGAGACCTTCCTGGAGATAACATAGTTCTCCTAAATTAACATAATGTCTTATTGGAGAAGCCCTTGATCAGCCTTCCAAGGTCCTTGAATGGCTCTGCCATACAAGGCAAAGTCTCACCTTTCTTTAGTATTCCCCACCTTGTTTTGATAACTAAATAAATACAGGCTGCCTAGAGAAGTCTTTGTCTAAAACCCCAGAATCTTGAATTTTGTGAGAGGGTTTGGATCCTCCTGGAGCCCTAAAATCATTTCATCTGTTTCATTTATTTAAGCCTTCACTGTCCACTTGTTTGGGTGATTGCAGGCCTGATCAGTCTTTTTTTTTTTTTTTTTTTTTTGAGACAGGGTCTCACTATGCAATTCAGGCTGGCCTTGAGCTCACTTTGTAGCCCAGGCTGGTTTTGAACTTGCAACAATCCTCCTGCCTCAGCTTCCCAAATGCTGGGATTACAGGTGTGCACCACCATGTCCGGCTTTTAAACCTAATCAGTCTGCAATAACTAGGGAATATTATTAACATGATAGCAAGTCATTTTTTTTTTCAGATTGCTGCATGGACACTATTATGGCTTTGGCTCAATATCAATACCTAAGGAAGGGCTATGAGCTTGCTTTTTTATGTTTGTTTTGTTTTGTTTTGTTTTGTTTTTGAGCAGAGATCCCTGGGCAGATTGACCTTAATGTCCTGTTGTGAACTGGGACCCACAACCTGACGTTTGATGTTGTTCTTGGACAAAGCTACTTCTATCAGTGAACCACACCTCCTGAGGGTCTTGGGGGCGCAGGGACTGATGTCCCGCCCACTCGCATAGGTCAGGGAAATCACTTGTTCAAAAGAGCAGCTAACCTCCGAGCCTGTAGGCGTCCATGAGGCAAGATTAAGGGTAGTACAAGACTTTTTCTTTTTGTCTTTTGGAGACAGGGTCAAGCAGATTGCCATAGAAGATAAATTGTTAAAGCTCACTTTGAGCTCAAATTGTTGCGCTCACTTTGTAGCCCAGGCTGGCCTGGAACTCCACTTTCAGGCTCCTGAGTACTGGGATTACTGGTGTGCACCACCACGCCTGGCAAGAGCAGTTTTGCTTGGCCTGGCCCAGTAGGGACGGTCAGTACTGCAGGGCCGTGAGTCAGGCACATCTGCTGGCTGTGGCACAGAGCAGGCCCCAGCAATAGCCTGGCACAGTCACATGCCCGGTGTCCAGTTTTCTTGCATTTAAACCAGGCCTTGATTGGCCCTAGGGTTTCCCTTGGGCAGTTCGGGTGTGCCCATTGCAGCAGCCAGATTTTGGTCTGTTTGGGTGGTTTGTTCCTCTCAGCCCTTCTCCTTTCATCCTCCTCTAGGTCCTGAGTGCTGGACACAGAAAAGGCCACGCCCAGGATCGCGGGGCCTGGGGCCATCTATAAACCCAGGAGGAGGGCTGGGGATTCATCTCAGTGGCACAGCACCTGCCTGGCAAGCATGAGGTTGTGAGTTTGATTCCCAGTACAAAAAATAAATAAATAGATAGATAGATAGATAGATAGACCTACCAGGGTCTATGTTACAGAGATGGGAGAGACTCATTACCCCCGGAGAAACAGGTGGGGCTCTGCGGACAGGATCATCGACTATCAATTATGAGTTTTTTCTTCCTCAGGAATCACCCTAACTACCATAGTTTCTGGGTTTTTTCAAGGATAAAAGGACACAAAAGGCTGAATATAAGGGATTTCATTCTACCTTCTATGCTTTGTGCAGAAATGATTTAACTAAAAAATAGTAGACTTTCTTTTTTTTGAGACAGGGTTTCACTGTGCAGTCCAGGCTGGCCTTGAGTTCACAATGTACCACAGGCTGGCCTCGAACTCACAGCGATCCTTCTCCCTCAGCCTCCTGAGCGCTGGGATCACAGACGTGCGCCACCACGCCCGGCCTAGACTTCCATTTGGTACCCATCACTCGTCACTTCTTAGCTCAGAATGGACCCAAACAGACTGCAATAGAAGATAAATTGTTAAAGACTGGTGGACACTGGGCTGTATGGGGTTAAGTTGCATAAGAAGGGACCTCTGGCCATATTGGAAAAGCTCCTGTTCATGAACTCCCTATTCCAGAGCAATAAGACTATCAACCTTCGAGATCAAACAGTTCTCTTAATTAGCAAGCCTTGCTGCCTTTGTTCTAACTTCTTCTGAATCCCTGATCTGTGGAAACTCAATAAATATGGGTACTCCAGAGAAATGGGTTCTCACCTTCCTGGGCTCCCCGAACTGTATTACTTGTCTCTTTTATTTAAGCCTTCATCCCTAACTCATTTTAGGTAGTTGGGGCTAGGCCAAGTCCCAATAAAAGACAAAGGTAGAAGCCCTGGGGCTCCAACTGGCTACATGTGTGGGGCCCGTGGAGAAAAGGCTCAGTCTGGGATCCTTCAGAGGGTGTCCTCACAGAAAGATGCAGACCCATTGACTCCCCAGAGCCTTCTCTGTGAGACTCAGTTGCGCTACCAGTCGTCTCTGGCAACGTAAGCAGCACTGATGCCTTCTTATCCAGTTTTTCTCCTTAGAACCCTCTGTACATTGCACCCTGCTACGATGCCTTCAGGGTTCGTTGTTAGCAATTTTTAAGGGTACAGGCTAATGACGAGATTACTGGGATCTTCAGGATGTTTTCCATGATGCGTTGGCTCACTGACCCCCTTAGGGAAAAGGATGGAGCCCACTCAAAGACTTGCTTCGGAACTCCCACGAGGTCAGGGTAGAGCCCCTATCCTGAAATCCTTCAGAGCATGAAATACTGTGGCTAGCAATCAGCTCGGTTTTGCTGCTGTCACTAGTTAAACTTGGAAATTGGTAAAAGGGGTAGGTAGATGGGATGGAGTAGCATTTGTGAAACAAGGTAAAGGAGGCTGAGGCAGGAGGATTGTTGCAAGTTCAAGGCCAGCCTGGGCTACATAAGTGAGGTCAAGGCCAGCCCGAGCTGCATAGTGAAACCCTGTCTCAAAAGATACACACAAAAAAGAACAGAGTCCTTGTTTAATAACAAGTGTTTTGTTGTAGTCAAGTACCAGAGTCAACCTACATGAAATGCAACAATAGTGAAAATGCAACAATACAAAGCCAGTAGTTTTTGATGCTTCCCAGAACCCAGAAGAAGCCACAGGACATAGTGCTTTCTTCTTAGTGGTAGAAGTATGAGGTGCAATTCTTAGTCCTTTAATTTGGATGTCCATGCGGGCGCCTAGCCATTGTTCTCCTAAAGCAGTTATTCTCGACTGGGAGGGTGTATGACCATTAATCCTGGTGTGTCAGCCTCACTGGATTAAGAAATGGCTATCAGGTTAGTAAAGTGTGCCCCTGGGTGCATCTGGGTGACATGGAGACATGGTCTCAGGTACTTTACGTGACTCCTTGCCTGTTCCTCTCCAGCACTGTTCTACTGCTCTGCTTCCCAGACCCATGAACTAAGTAGCTTTGCTCCACCACACCCTCCCGCCATGATGTTCCTGCCTTGGAGTCTGCCAGCCATGTACTGACCCTCCCAAAACCATCAGCTAAATTCAACCCTTCCTCTTTTATTTTTTTTTATTATTTTATTTTATTTTGTCTTTTTGAGACAGGGTCTCACTATGCAGTCCAGGCTGGCCTTGAGCTCACTTTGTAGCTTAGGCTGGCCTCAAATTCGCAGTGATCCTCCTGCCTCAGCCTCCCACGTGCTGGGATTACAGACATGAGCCACCACACCTGGCCCTACCCTTCCTCTTTTAAATTGTATCAGACATTGTGTCCCAGTGATGAAAAAGCTAATACAGATAATACCAGAGGTACGGGGTCATTACTGTGATTACACATGACCATGTGGTTTAGAAGCCCGTGGAATTGATTTCTGGAAAGAGTTTGGAAAGGTTTAGAGATGCAGGGTATAGAAATCCTAGAATGCAATAAGGAGAGCCTGATGGGTGATCCTCATTGGAGCTCAGAAGACCAGAATGCTGGTGAGAATGTAAGAATGCACACAGGAAAGGCCAAGCTGAGGAAGTTTCATTTGTCATTTGTAATAGAGGCTGTGTGTTCTCCACTCTGCCAAAAACTGTGTCTACATTTTCCCGATGTCCTGAGACACTGAGCAGACTGAGATTAAGGATGCTTGACTAATTAATCTGGCAGAAGAACTTTCAAGCTATTCCATGTTCAGGCTGTGGCATGGATACTGGTGGCTGCTTTCAGCCAGATTTACTGTGAGAATTGGAGCCACGAGACCAGTAGAAATTTTTTAAAAATTTAAATCTTGGGTTCTACATGGTGGCACATGGCTGTAATCCCAGCACTCAGGAGGCTGAGGCAGGAGGCTTGCAATGAGTTTGAGGCCAGCTTGAGCTACAAAGTGAGTTCAAGGCCAACCTGAACTACATGGTGAAACCCTGTCTCAAAAAGACTAAAGACAAAAAAAAAACTTAAATCTTGGCTCAGAAGGAGCCTTCTGTAAGTTTTGGCCAAAAAGGTATGGGTGTTGAAGAGATTAGTGCCATTAAAAAGAAACCAGATACTTTGCACAAGGATAAGAAAAAAGGTGCTTTGAAGCCATTTCAGAAATGGGGCCCTACCTATTGCGGACACAAGGGGGCAAGGGTGACAACCTTTTTTTGAGATGTGAGTCACTGGGGCTGCTGCTTGAGAAGGGTGTCCTAGGGAGTTGGTTCCCCAAAATTTATTTTACTGTGACTAGCCATCCAGGCACTCAGAGACCACTATAGCATTGGTCAAAGGGGGTCTGGCTACTGCAGCCATGACAGTAGACCTTGGCATCATGTATGTGAGCTGATTTTACTGACATGCAGAATGCAAGAGTTGTGAAGCCAGGTGTGATGGTGTATGCTTGTAATCCCAGCACTTTGGAGGCTGAGGCAGGAGGATCACTGCAAATTTGAGGCCAACCTGGGCTACATAGTGAGTTCAAGACCAGCCTGAACTACATAGCAAGACCCTGTCTCAAAAAATAAAAGAGTTGTGGGGTCAGGGAGACTTTTACCCAGATTTCAAAGGAAGAACTGGGAGGCCAGGGCATGTGCATCTGAGAGGGAAATGTGTAAAAACTGTGAGAGTGAAGCCAGAAGTGGAGACCCCAGAAAGTTGGAGATGTCAGGAACGTGGAACATCTGTCAAGAAAGGCTACAGACCGTGAGTGGGGTCAGGCCAAGAGAGAGGCCATGTAGGTTGCAACTGTAAAGGCCAGGAGGGTGGGGCTGTTCAGGTCCTCTGGAACTCACATTTTACCTCCATGCACCCAAGATGCTGGGTGTGGAGCTACAGGAATTAATGTTTTTCCTTCTAGGTTTTGATTTTGCTTTGGGTTTTCTTTTACATCCTATTCCTTCCCCACCCCCTCCTTTTTTTTGCCTTTTTGAGACAGGATTTCACGATGCAGTTCAGGTTGGCCTTGAAATCACTTTGTAGCCCAGGTGGGCCTTGAACTCACAGTGGTCCTCCTGCCTCAGCCTCCCGAATGCGGGGATTAAAGGTGTGCGCTACCATGCCTGGCTCAAACTTTTAAAATATGACCCCAAACAGAAACCCGACCACTAAACAGCGACTCCCCTCCCCTGGTACTCTGTACCTTGCGTGGTTTGTGCTCTGGTTGGAATCGAGCTTGTGCTAGGAGCTCGCTTCCCTGGTCGCAGTGGGATCTTTGGTGGGGCAGGGGTGGAATCACCTGGCCTCCTGAGACGATCCGTTCTCTCAAGCCAACTGTTACAGAAGAGCGAGCCTGGTCCTTGCTGCTCCCCTCACACGAGGCCTCGCTTTCTTTGCACGTGCTGGCTTCCCCCTGCTTTGCTGCCAGGCTGTGACACAGGTGGGCCCCTCACCCGAGGCTGGTGCCCTGCAGTTTGGACTGTCCAGCCTCTGCATCAGAAGTCAAATAAAGCATTTTTTTACATCACCTAGAGTGATGTATTTGTTATGAGAGCACAAAACAGACAAGATGGTGGGGACGCTGGGTCAGTCTTACTGAATGAGGAGTTAGAGGATAAAAGCGACAGAGAAAGCAGGGAAGGGACAGGAAACGGGAACCTGCAGGAAAAGTGTCCGGCATAGGTCACAAATTCCATGTGTGTGTAGATGATCCAGCAGATCTGCGTGTGGTGCAGTGTGTGACGGGGGCTGCTGAAGGAGATTCTAAGACAAGACTGCAGGCTGTTTAAAGAGAATCTGTTCTCTGTCTCTCCCTCCCTCCCTCGTGTGTGTGTGTGTGTGTGTGTGTGTGTGTGTGTGTGTGTGTGGTTATTGCTTATAGCCTAGACTAGCCCCAAACTCGACATTCTCCTCCTCCTGAGCACTGGGATTACAGGTGTGACCGCCACACCTGGTTGAAGAAGCCATTTGTATGCTTCTTATGGCAAGAACAGCTCCTAAACTATGTTGTCCCCCTTTGTAGCCATGCTTGAGAATTATCTTCTTTTCTCAAATTTCTGATTTTGAGGGGCTAGTGATGTAGCTCCATGGTAGAGCAATTGCCTAGAATGCTTAAGGCCCTGGGTATGATCCATAGTGTTGCAAAAAATAAAACAAAATTCAGCTCACTCCAATTGAATAGTTTGAAGCTGAGTGTGCACACCTGTAATCCCAGCACTTGGGAGGCTGAGGCAGGAGGATCATTGAGAGTTCGAGACCAGCCTTGGCTACATCGTGAGCACAAGGCCAGCCTGAACTGCATAGCAAGACCCTATCTCAAAGAGACAAAAAAAAAAAAAAAAAAAAAAAAAAAAAAAAAAAAATTTGTCTGAAATAAATGTATTCTAACCTTTGTGTAAAATAATTGTTTTCAATGAGAAAAAATGGAAACAAAGTTTCTGTCAATAAGGAGAAGAGGAGTTGAAGGGAATGAAGTGGAATGGGAAAAGAGCAAGCAAGATATATCACATATAGGTGCTAATTCCCTATGATCATGATCATTATACATATCAAAAATGTACCCATAGGGCCAGGGATATAGCTCAGCGGCACAAGTGCCTGCCTGCCAAGCACAAGGTCCTGAGTTCGATCCCCAGTACAAAAAACAAAACAAAACAAAAAACCCATAAACCTGATTAATTAAAAAGTATATGATGTACACGTACCAATGCCACACAAAGAATGAGAACATTGCAAATACGTATAAAAAGGGAAGGGGGTTGAGAGGTGGAGGGGCTGGGAAGAGAGGGAAGAGAAAAGGGATGGAAAAAAGGAATTACAGTGGATTGTGTAAATGAATCAATTTCCACAAGGAATGTA